ATAAAGAAACATTATTATTATTATTATTATTATTATTATTATTATTATTATATTCATAATGACTCTTTTGATTATGGTGACAGGGTGAGAGACTATGAGGGGTTCATCTGTTCCCTGTTAATGCCTGTGGCCTTGCGTCGGTCCTCCATTGCACTGAGAGCTTTCAACGTGGAACTGGCTCAGGCAGGTATTTGTGCTTATTTGTATCTTGCTGGTTTTGTGGTGTCCTGGAAGACCCATGTAATACAAATGTCACATATTTTACACTATGTTCCTTCAGATTATGAAAATGGGTGGGGCATAAACACAAAGTCTATATTTTAATGACTAAATGACTAAAGACCAAATAAAACATGATCTGAAAGCGTCCTGGAGTGGTGGCTCTGTGGTTAAGGATCTGGGTCTGTGGCTGGAAGGTTGCCGGTTCAAATCCCGCAGCCAGCAGAGGAATCCGTTGGGCCCCTGAGCAAGGCCCTTAACCCCAACTGTTCCAAGGGTGTCGTATAAATGGCTGACCCTGCGCTCTGACCCCAAGCTTCTCTCTCTGTCTGTGTGTCTCATGGAGAGCAAGCTGGGGTATGCGAAAAGACAAATTCCTAACGCAAGAAATTGTATATGGCTGATAAAGTGATCTGATCTTATCTTAAGCACTGGAAGAGTTATTTTGACATATTAGGGGCTTTAAAGAAGTAGGGGCTCTGTGCTTCCATGTTTGGCCTGTGAGGTTCTATAGTTGATTCCAAGTTCTTCCAGTGTTCATGTAGGTCTTTATGAGGTGCTCAGGTCATCTCAGAGAGACAAACAAGTTAGGTTTGGCTACTCTGAATTGTCCCATTCCTGGCAAGGAGAAGGTGAGTTCTAGCTATGGTCTCACACCATACAGAAATACAATAGATCAGATGAAACCGGGCAGCCAGATGGCCTTCTCTCATCCATTCTGGTGACATTCTGACATCCTGGAATGTCTGTCCAGGCAAAGGAAATGTGAAGGATGAGGCACAAGTAACGTGTTTTGTGCTGTGTCTTGAGCTGAGGCTTGCACTGACGCAGTGAGTGCCAGCCTGGGTGTTCTCTCCTGCCATGGATGGAACAGTATTGCCTGCTGGTTCCTCTGATGTCTACCAACAGCGCCATGCGTGACTGTAGTGCTCAGGACACATACACGTGATATCAAAGAAAGCCTGTTGTTTAAGAATGACTTAAACAGTAAAGGTTTGCAATAGCAAGCCAGGAATTAATGCTGCACACCCAGTGAGTAAGATGGGTAAACTAAGGTAAATAAGAAGCTCTATTAGAAGTACAAAAAAAGAAACAAATTTAGTTCTAGACCTATAGCTGGTCGTTGAAGAGCCAGTCCACCTTAAAAAAACTGGCATGCCAACAGAGTTTACCACTCGGATCTTGGTGTGGTCACTGATGGTCTGACCTCAGACAGCATCCTTCACCATATGATAATTCTGCTTTTAGAAACCATTTGGGTGACCATGACTCTATGTAGGCCCCGACTAGCTCTGTTGGTAGAGCATGAAACTCATAATCTCAGGGTAGTGGGTTTGTCTCCCATGTCGGGCACCAGGTCCTCCATGTTGGAGGTTGGGCACAAGGCAAACAACCCTGTCCTGTAAAAAACTAATGCTACGGAAACAGCAACAGGATGTTGCTGCCCCTACATGCCGGAAGGCATAATGGGCAAACATCCATCCATCCATCCATCCATCCATCCATCCATCCATGACTCTTATGTGCACTGGGACACGCTAAAATAGGGTGGAATTTTAAATCAAAAGGTATTCATTTGGAAAAGGCTTTCTGCCCTCGAAGACTGGTGTTTAAAGCCCTTGCACAGTAAAGGTCTGCTCTTCTTGCCATTGATCGAATTGTGTTAATGCCTGAACTACAGTATGTTCCTGATTTGTTTGAAAGTTCCCAGTTCAGGTAAAGTTTGAAAATTGGGTCCACTGGTTATATCTGAAATATTAGGTCAGCCTTTTTTCGCTATGCATTTCTTTTAAACAAATCAATCATATTTTCTTACTTTTCTGTGTGCATTCCTATTTTCCTGTGAGCCACACTTTATCATTGAGTAAAGAGTAGCAGGATAACCTAATAGTTTTTTTCTTAAGATGGTCTACTTGAAGTGACACAAGAAACCTTATTAATCTAAGCTGCTTGTAACATTATTACATTCAGTTAGCCCAGCTATATTTCTCTTTGCATGCATGTATATTTTAGCTAATATTTTAAAGGGTAAGAGAACCAACGGTGCACATCCTTTTACATAGAATATGTTGTATTTGATGTGTGTCCATTACTTATGTGCCATATAATATAATATAACACCTGAAGAAGGCTCCATGGCCAAAACGTTCCATATAATAAATATATTTGCTCTTGTTTGTATGAAAAACATTCAGTCTGTGAATTCAAGGAGGATGATTATTTAATCAGTCTCTTAATGTGTGTTCAACACTGTTAGAGGTCATTGAGCATGAACCATAGTGCTGTATGAAAATTGTGGTGACTTGTTATCCATTAGAATAAATTGTCAGAAGACGTATTGGTATTACAAGACTAATATGAAAGCCATCTGTGGTGAAAGGCAGGGTTTTGGGAAATGTTTTAATGTGCCTCTGTTTAAGGTGCTTGATGAAATCAGAGTTAATGTTGTTTTACAGGGTGGTGTGCATTTACTGGGTTTGATGTGATTTTCAAATATCAATACATTTGTTCAAAATGATTTAATGAATTACAGTCCAATGTGTGTCAGATATGTGTGTCCTACTAAAATCATAACCTCTGATTAATCTGTTTGGTAGCAAGGGCATTGGCGAAATGTAAGTCTGTGAAGTTCGTCTGAGCAGCCCTGAATCTTACTTGTGTATCCAGGTGAAGGACGCAGTGTCGCAGAAGACTATAGGCCTGATGCGGATGCAGTTTTGGAAGAACGCTGTGGAGGAGATCTTCAGGGATGAGCCCCCACATCAGCCAGTCACAGCTGAACTCTGGAGGGTTTGTGGGAGCTTTTACAAACTTACAGAGCTTTTTACTGGTGGGGTCCCCAAATTCTTCAAGCCAGGTGGTGTTCGTGCCTTCTTTGAGATTTCAGTCATTTTAAGATCTGCAGAGAAGAATTAAATCACGTTAATTAAACCTTAACATGCATTAGCTAGCCCTGCCCCTGGAGACCCATTTACTACTCAAACCTTAAACCAGCAGATTGTAAGGAACTGGGAAACGTGCGCGTGTGATCAGTCACAGCAGGAGCCGCCAGCTGTGCTGCCTGATGTTCATGTTTGCATTTCAGACTATCCCGAAATTACTTCTGAACCTCTGGAAACTGTCTGCTACAATTGTCTTAATGAAATTGTTTCAAGCACAGTACTGTAGGTTAAACTTTGGTTATTTAAATAGGGCCAATGTGGACTGTCACTCAGGGCAAGGCTGGGAACTGTCACCTAACTGGACCTGCTTAATCCTTTACTTCTGCTTTGAAGATGCTAGTACTGGGATTATTTCCATAAAACCTGCTGCACCCCAAACCAACAGGTGCACTGAAGATCACAGTCACGAATCTCTGTTTCACTGCATTTGCTTAAGAATTTCTGGCAGTGTTGTGCGTGCCAGTACATACTATAGAGTTTAACTAAAATGACCAGGTGCAAAAAAATAGTTATTCCCTTGTCAGTTCTTTACAGGTAAAATTCAGCAGAATGTTTTTCTTTTCTAGTTTATGAGTTTCTAATGAAGCACATTTTATAGACTTTTTTTGTTAAATAATTGCATTTGCAGGGATTTTAATAAAGAGGAAATCATTTTTTTTCTCTGTGAACAAATGCTATTTGAAGTGATAAATGAGTGGGGAATTGAAGGCTCTTGTCTATTCTAGGCATCCTTGTAAGATTGTTTGTATCATAAAGCTCATTTGTTTAACACTTTCTCGATATAACAATGCCATTCAATGCCTCATTATCACTGCATTGTACTCCATACATTATATACTGGTGCGCTCACAAATTACACTTTCGACGTGTTTTTAAAGTTTAATTTTTATTGTTAGCTTTTGATGATCAGTATACTGTTGCTTCATAATATAATTATGGGCTTTCTAGATTAGGATGTAGAAACTAACATACTGTTTGTTTGACAGGCAGTGAAGAAACACAGTCTGACTAAGAGGTGGCTCTTAAGGATCATTAAAGAAAGAGTGAGTGAAGAGTGCAGTAATTTCTCTCCTGGTTCTTGGCTTCTTTTTTAATGTGAATGTTAACTGAAAATGGCATTTGGATGTAACGGGGAAAATTACTAGGAAACAGACATTTTAACTTCTTTAAAGAAGTACAGATAGGATCCTGTAAAGTGGTTTAAAAGGGTTTAAATCCAAATTGATCATTTTCCACTTCAAGCTATGGAAATACAAAAAAGGATGGGTTATCAGAACTGGCATTTTAAAATAAGCAAATGTCGTCCAGTGTGTTATCCTGCTTTTTTGCCTTTCTCAGCCTTTATTTGACTTTCCTGGTTTTAAATACTAAATGTGTGGTTTCTTGCTAGAAGCTATGATTTAACAATGCTTCTGTTTGTATGGATGTATTTCACAGGAGAAAGATCTGGATGATAGGGCTTACAGAAGCCTTCCAGAGCTGGAGTCCTACTCAGAGAACACTCAATCCTCTCTGCTGTATCTGCTTCTGGAATCCCTAGGTAAGCAGTGTGTGCCCACAGCTTCACTCAGGAAGAGTTATATTTTTTCTAAAAATGATTACGAATCAAATGTGTATTTGTCCTCAGTCTTTAAAATGTACAAAACTGAAAGTTTTATTTTTTCAGTGTCTTCGTCAACTACTTGTTTGGAAGTCCTGCATTGTAACCAGTAGTTCCTCCCTTGCACTTCTTGTAACTCTAGATACTTCTCTTGGGTTGCCTGTGAGTTATTCTTGTACACTTTGATCTGAATTCCAAAACTTTTTACCATCAGGATGAATTAACACCAGTATTTTCCATTTGAGAAAACATTGCAGAAAAAGATCGGAACTAACACAGATCTGTCAGGATACTTAAAGTTATTAAAGAAATTTGATTTTTTTTTTACCTTTACCAAACAGATTGTAAAATTAACACAATTTAAAAGTTTTATATATATTGAATTTTTTTCAGTAACCCCCACAAAAGCTACAGTGATCAAAATCTAGAACATGACAGCCGAGACTACTGGGTTGTTGGTTCACGGTTGGTAAGAGTAGCTGTTTGAGCAAAATTAACACTTTTATCCAATAACTTTTTTTTTTCCATGTTGATATTGTCTTTATAAGGTTATTTTTTATTTAACAAATGTGTTTCTCCAATAATGCATTGGGTTTATTTTTATTGTAACATTGAAGTCAAAATAGAATGATGCACTGAAGCACTCCTGCTGGGATTCTGTTTCCTGCTTTCAACCTCTTTTCATCCAGAGATGGAGCTTGTGATCTAACACAGAGCTTGAATTGGGAACCAGTGGCTTAGAGGATGTGATTTAGATTCACTAATATAAATTCAGTACTGAAGATTGTGATATTATTGACAATTACTTAAATATTATAATACGCTGTTCAGCACACCGTCCATCTTTTACCAGGTAAAAGAAAAATTGTTGAGTGTTCCTCCTGCTAAATCAGCTGAAGGTGCCAGTGTACAGATTTGTTAGTTTTTCTGAACGCAAATGTCCGGAAGCAAAGTAGTGGTGCTAACAGTGGTATCTTGGTTGATGTCTGCTCTGGGCTTGAACAGTCTAGCCTACCTAAAGTTCCTCCTGAATTCTAAATAAGCCCGTTCTCTCTCCTCCGTCTGACCTGCTGTGCAGGCGGGCAGCTGGTTCCGAATGGATGCTGAGCTTCTCCCAGGTGGGGCTACACTTCAGTGGTGAATTAAGTCTCTCCCCCTTTATATGTCATGGACTTTGGGGTGAAGCCATATGTTAACACGTTAATTGAAATAATTAATGCTTTATATGCAAGTACGTGAATCAATTTGTCATACACCCCAGTATGGGGTGGTTGGCTTACAATTAGAAGGTGGACACTGTCGACTGCCATTGCGCTTAAACAACTAATTGTGCAAGTGTATGATCATTTCAGAGTTCCCTCTTTGGAGATGCAACAGGACCCTGCTATATCTGTTTAAACTTTGAAAACGATTGTGTTTGCCTAGAATTACAGTTTCTTAGTTAATGGTGTACTAGCCAGTTTAACCCCCAAAACTAATATAACCAAATCCAGGATCCTGTTGCTTTTATCCCCAGTTCACCTAGGAGATGGAAACATCAAGAAGTTGTTTTAAGATTTTAAGATTTTCATTAAAATTAAGCTTGTGAAGGAAATAATGGTTTGCAATTTCCTTCAGATACCTGCTGTCAGCACATGCCAGATGGAAATGGATTAACACACAGAGCAGAGATGAGTTTGAATGTCACAAGCTTTTAAGCGCTTGTCTTCAGCCCAGAGAAACATATTTACATACTGTATGTCTTGGTTTTAATACATCTAAATGGATGTAGTCAACACCCTGCTGATAAAAACACCAGTAGGATTTGCTTTAACATTTGGGATGAGCATAGCTCATTGAACAAGCAAGTTTCATAAAAGAAACGAGGAGAGCTCCTGTAGGCTTGAAGTTCCTGTCTCCCTGTGAAGTTCTGTTAAACAGGCTTTCATCTCAGCATGCCTGGGGTTCTCTCGGCATGGAGAGAGAGCTGGAGCCCTGGACTGTCTAGTCTAGTGTGTCATTTCATCTCTTTTTCCACGAGAAAGTGTCCAGTTATTTGTGTTGTCAGCCAAGAGGAATGGAATGACTCATATTTTGTTTTTATTTTTATGTTTTATATATTTTATCTTTATTATTTGTGGTCAGAAAGCCGACAGCACCTTGTAAACCGCCGCACAGTATATTTTACTTTAATGAGAGATTCTGGAGATCTGCAGGAAAACACAAATGGAGGGGTCTGGCTTCCTTCCACAGAACCAGACTTTTATCAGTCAGCAGTTTTGTGGGTATTGAAAAGTGAAATGTCAGAGTGCAATTTCTGCCTGTATTCCTCTGTTTTGTGACAGCTCTTTATTGTGGTGGTGTACAAACAAAATAAACATATATCATCAACCCCAAAGATAGCTAGGCTGGGCCTTATTGAGAGCTCCTGCCAACAAATAAACAATTGCTGTGGCATACATATACATACCTGAGGGAGGGAGTTTTAACAGAGTCTTTGAGCGGTGTATTAGGGAAAACAGTTGCACAAATGCAGGCATAAGGTAAAAATTGTTATTTTTCTGTTTACAGTGCGGGTTTATGCTCCAAAGCAAACTGTATGCCAAAGCAGAAAGCGTAGCTCTGTATAAGCACCAGTTCGCTTCTTCAGTCCCTCTCTAAATCATAACCTGGCATCTAAGCTGCTCTAGGTTTCTCCTGGTTGCAAAATTCTTTTTCTTCCAAAATTAAGTTTTCTCCAAGACACTCTAACAAACTCATATTTGAGGTCCATGGGCTCACCGGTCGGTCAGTTCTGTGCTTCTTTCTCCTCTGGATAATACAGGAAATAGGACCTCTACTAAAGCTAAAACTCCATGGAGTTGCCATGGAGAACTTGTCACAGATCAATTAAATCCCATTCCAGCTCTGGCTTTTATAAAAAAAGAAAACCATGATGAATGTGTATCACCCCATTTCCCTGGAAACACAGCTTCACCTGGAATGCTGTGTTTTTCTTCATCAATGCTGTAATTGCTAATTCAATATTCATTACGTCCTCCCAGTTCTCATTTATCCACAAAAGTGAAGTTACAGCTGAAATAATTTGCAGTAGGTGTCAATTTTGTAGCCCCTAATGTACAGTAGGTATTTCTCTTGTTAATGTAAGCAAACTTGTACTCGAGAATCAGCAGCAGAACATGAACCAAGGGATACAAGTGGTACTTGTAGTAATTGTAGTACAATTTCAGGGAGGTGTCTTTAAACCCAAGAACATGAGGCACTCCTTTGGGGAGTCTGGACCAACAGACCAACAGGCCACCCAGCCCTGTTGTTGAAAGAAATACCACAGCTTCTTTGAGGAAACAAATGGGTGTTGATTATCAGATCAATTAGATGCTAACTGCCAAACAAACTAGATGGATTGAATGGCCTAATCCCATTTGTAACTTTTCTTGTGTCTCATATGAAATCGGTTTTTAGCAGTGAAACAAAGGCTGAAACTTGTGAGAGTGATTTAGTGTTGTTGTTTTTTTACCCTCTACATCTGTGTTTGACATTGATTTTTTTAACACAAAAAAATTAAGAGAATGTCAAATGTCAAAGTCGGAAAAGGCCAAATCGATTAAAGTCTTTATTTTTTCCAAAAGGCAACCTTTTCAAAACTGTTCTCTTCAGCTGTTGGAATGACTAAAATTCAGCAGTTGAATAGGAAGAATTGTACGGTAGGTAATGTCACTTCCACTACGTGCCGAAATAAGATGGAACCTCTCTACTGAAAAAAAAGCTAGCCTCCAAGTTAATAGATTATACCTATCTTTGCTATTCTAAAGTAACACGTTTACACTTATTTATATTTTATTCATCCATCCACCCGAACACAACTTATTTCTGGCAAGAGCTACAGCATATTTAATTCATGCAGTGATTCTTCATATTTAATTCATGCACTGTTTATCAGCTTATTTCTGGATTCATTCTAGGCTCTCCCGAGTATAAGACCTTGTTTCTTAAATAGTGTTTGCTACCCCAATTTGTTTGGGGTTGTCTGCTGATTTCACATTTCAAGAGTACTTTTAAGCAGTGGGTCAGTGTTCCTTCACAGGGAATCTCAGTTATGGGTTTGGATTCGGATTGGTCAGTATTTTATCTTGCAGGAATTACACTTGTTGAAAATGTGTTGGAAAGACTGCTGGTGGGACGTATGGCTTTTTCTCGTCTCCAGCCATTCGAGAGTTTGGAAGCCCTAGTTGCCGACGTGACTTTGCGGACGGCTGAGTGAATTTGCGAGCAGGAGTTGTGATCGTTGAACCCATGCGCTTTTGTCTCTCTCCAGGCGTGAAGGATGTCCATGCAGACCATGCTGCCAGTCACATAGGAAAGGCCCAGGGAATAGTCACGTGTCTGAGAGCAACCCCCTACCACAGCCGGAGACGCAGGGTTTACCTCCCCATGGATATCTGCATGCTGGTGAGCACCGGGGAAAAAACTGGCCAGTGAGGTTATCACCTCGGACAGGAGCTGACATTCCCAGCCAGAGGGCAACCAACAGTGCTTCCCAGATTTCACCTCCTTATACTATGAACCAGGTAGAGAAACATGGCATGAAGCTGAGGAATCACCATTTTTGCATTCATAAGGCATTCATTCAACTGTGGTATTGCTCAGCTTTTCTTTTTAATAATTTAGAGAGATTTCATAATTCAGTTTCTCTTTAAAGCACAACTCGCGGGAGATCCGTGTGTGATACGGAGGAGTTTTGGTTTATGCTTATCAGATTTACATGGCTTTAAGTAAACTAGTTCAGTCAGGGGATGTTGCTTCAGTTTTCCTCAACTGTTCAAGAAGACAGGGGGCACTGTTGGATTTCACAGATCACATATGCAGCTGGAACACTCCGTCTGCTAGATGTTTTCAACATTAATTCAAAGACACAAGATAGTGTATAATTTCCAATATGGATTATAACAGGACTTGTTAGATAACGTTTCTTTTTTGTCATATTAACAATTTATTACACCTTTATTATGTGACATTCAAGCTGTATGTACTGTACATTACTGTTTCAGCTAGTTCAGCAAAAAGGCTTCTCCCTCAGAATACATATATCACTGCTACACTCCAAGCTGCATCATTGGACTTCTTAGCAAAGACGGCTCTGAGAATGTTTTGCCAGACGTTGCTTCTAGCAGGAGGAATAGCTGAGGGCCAGCTGTAGCACAAATTGTGAGCAAGAGATGAAGAGGCAGAAAATAAAGGCGTGAGGCACCTTTTGAAAGCGGGTTGGAATCGCCTGTTATTTTTGTCGCGTACTGAGCTGGTTGTTTAAAGGCTGGGCAACACACCCACCTGTCCAAGTACATCTGGTCCTATTTGAATGGCCTCATCTTAGTCTGATGCATTGCAAGCTGCCCAGAGCCCTAAAGGAAACTTACATCCGATTGGAGAAGCAGTTGTGGTCTGTAAGTTAGGGCTCCAGCCAGCTACCGCCCACACAAGGAACTTTGTTTAATACTATTAGGGTGACGATGTGCCAGTTTGACTATCTGCACTTGCATTCCCCATTGCCGAAAAAACAAACTGCTTAGATTTATGTTCAGAACCCTCTTTATTCCATGAATCATTTTGGCTTCCCTTGAATTTGTCAGTGCTCTCACTCTCCACCTGCCACTGCTGTGGGGCTGTTATGGTTTCCCTTCTCTCGCGCTTTTATCTTCATCTCTCTCTGTCATGGGCCGGCCTGAAACTCTTTTCAGTCGCACTACAAAGGCAGCTCTAGTGAGCTGCCCCTGACCGGTGCAAGAGCCAGCACGCAGCCTTGGGAGCAGAGCGCAATGCAGCCTGTCAAGGAAACAGCACTTTCTTTCACTGCGCTGAGTTTAAAAGTTTGGGTTGCCTCAGGTAAACCCGACATCTGACATGTTAACATCTGTTTCATGTTCTTAAGCGCAAGTAAGAGTTGTTTCAATATACAGTTATTTATGGTCCAGATTAAATAAGTTACCCAGCCCATTAAAAACATTTAATTAATTAAATAATACCATCATTTTAGCCATTTTAATCCATAAAATCTGTATATATCTTGGTATTATAAATTGGTCAGCTGTGACATATGTGACTGTATTGTACCCATTTTGTTGTATGACAGGTATAACATACAGTATACACACTATATATTCACCATTATCCAGCCATTTTCTACCGACTTTATCCAATACAGGGTGACGGACAAGCCAGAGCCAGTTCAGCACAGGGCATACATACATTATATCATACTATATAATATATACAAATAAAAATATATCATGTATGTTCTACAGGTATAATATATTTGACTATACTACAAAGTATAGTCTTACTATAATGTATATACTGTACTGTGATTGTGTTATTCTATTATGAGTATTATATATGAATATTATGAGTGTGAGGCAATAGTACAGAATTTCACCTTTTATTTCTGTGCTTTTACAGTATGTTACAAAAATAGCATTTTTTCCATGTTCAATCTCCACACTTCAGGTGAGCATAATTATTGAGGCTGTGTTTCTTACTGGTCAGGTGTTTCCTATTGCATTGACTGTACACATAAAAGAGCTGTAAGTGTGTAGTGTTTGATTTTGCCTTTGCTCTCTAGCCAAAATAGCACTTTTGACTTCACTGTCCCAGTACTTATGCAGGGCACTGAGCTACAGGTATAGGGGTAATGAAACAATAGGGATCTAATGAGCTCATGTGAGTGAAGAAACACAGAGATTGACATAAAGAAGTTTTCGCATTGGACCCATGAGGAATCATGAAAATCAGCTGAGGGGCTTCCAGAGAGCGATTTTTTCTTTTTTGACAGATAAAAAAAATATGACTCTTAAACATTAATTGTAAAAACTTTAATCCCAGCAGGAGACAATGGACTGTAGGTATGGAAAACGGAGCCTGTGCATGTATTCATTTAGACGTACGGGACTGTAGTTTAGGTTTCCTTTTCTGGAGTCTATCCAGGGACTGGCAAGACAGCGAGAAGGAGTCGAGGGTCAGGAACGGAGGTGAGCCGTGTGTGGTGTGTGCTGGTGGACCTGTTTCATTTCGTTTCTCCTCAGCACGGCGTTTCGCAGGAGGACTTCATTCGGGGCAGTGGGGAGCAGAAGGTGCGGGACGTGGTGTTTGACATTGCCAGCCAGGCTCACGTGCATCTCCATCACGTAGGTGCACTATTGATTGTGTTCACAGAGAAAAAAACAACAACAAATCAAATTGTCTGTTCCATGCGCCTGTCAACACTCTGTGGGTGACAGAGCCTTTCTCCTGCTCTTCTCCACAGCTCTGGAATTCTGTCCCCTAGGATATCAGCAAGTCATTTTTCCCGAGCCCTTTCAAATCTAGTCTCAAAACCTTCTTCTTCAGAAGGGCTTTTATTGAACTGGTTCTGTGTCTGCCCTGTTCCTTTCCTACTGTATTCCAAACCCTAACTGCAACGGTGTAATTCTGCTGTGTTCTCTCATTGTGTATTCTTGTCTGTCAAGTGTTTGTCAAGTGTTTTGAGAAGCCACTTTTAAAGGTGCTATATAAAACAAGGTTTATTATTATTATAATAAATCTATATGTTCATAGGGCTTGGTTACTTCAGTTTCAGTATCCCAAATATAGGCACTGTAAAGATCTGGAAATTGTTTTCCTTTTTACTTTTCGCCTGGCTTCAATCACCAGAATGAATCCTTTTTTCTGTGAGTGTTTCCCATAAGTGAAAGCTGAGCTGGAGCCTGTGGACTGCAGGTGTGCTGCGCTGCTCGACTGTGCGAATCAAATTCGTTTGTAATTCTCTTGGTCTTTCTTTTGAGAGCACTTTCAGAGTAAACAAAACTACCTGCTTTTTACCCCTAGGTTATTTTTCTGAAGTTGGCTCACTTTGTGCTGTGACAGGGGTTGTTCTATTATTCCAGACAGAATCCAATCATGATGGTATTTTTGTTATTGAATTACTGGTACTTCAGAAAACAAATTGAATTTCCTTCGTTATATAAGCTGCTGTGTAAAATGTTTAGAGACCCAACTGAGACATATCTGGATTTGCTATATATGTTCAGAGCATCAGCAATTTACTCAGAGCCTCAGCTGGTGTTTTCTACTATTATAACAGATTTGGGAGTCATTCATACATCCTTGAGAAAAAAACAAACTTGTCATTAAGCAATCTTTAAGTCACACTAATGAGAATCGGAAAAAACCTGGAGAGCAGCACCTTGAGATAAATTACGCAAGTGGCCAATATGAAGAGCTGTAGGACCTAATCCATCAAATTTACTAATTTGTACCATTTTGCCTGTCAATTCTAACAGACTCATTATCAGACATTCTTTGTCATTAACATGCTTTCTTCCTCTCTAAAGACCCATAAAGCTAAAAAGCCACTTTTTGTAGTACAAAATGGAGATGTCTGGATTACTTTAGAACAAAACTCAAATCGGTAGAAGATTAATATAGAATGACCATTATAGAAATAAAAAGTGTGGAACAAGGCAAAATATCTTGGATTTACAGTGGACACTGCTGTATATACTGTATTTTATTGTAGATTCTTCATTTTTATTCTCATGCTTTGCTCTTGTTGATTTTCCGTTTCTTTAGGCCAGATCGTTCAGCAAAAATGTACCTTTGAATGCCTCCCCAGCCTTTTTGCAAACGGTGAGTCCTAGATGCATTTGTTCTGTTGTACAAATGAGCAGGCCTGTCCATGCATGCATTCATAGAAATGACTCATACAAAATAGATGCACAATGCAAAAGTGACTTCTGTTCTTTCATGTACAAAGTACAGTATGTACAACCTACAGTAAATGTAGATCAATTCAGTATTCAGAATTTGTTTTCTCAATTTGGTAAACTAAAACATTTCAGCTGCAAGCAGATTTCTAGCATTGCTACCGATCTGACTTAATAAACACTAAATTGGCATTTCCAATGCAAACGAAAGAGAAATTCAAAGCATTTGGGCAGGAAAATTAAAAAAAAGAAGTTTTTACATATTTGGAACTTCACTAACACCGTTGTTGTTTTTTGAAGTCAGAAATATATCAGTTAACATTTATCTTCTGGCAGTTAATAATATTTCCAAATAGCTGATTGGAGAGATCTGTTTATAGTGTACTGTAATCAGGTGTTTCATTTCCATCTAAGCAGAAGTTTTCATATAGTTCATACATTAATGGAAACAATACAATATCTTTGTTGCCTTGCATGCTGCCTTAGTACTTAGGAAAATCAAAATCTAAATGTAATGAAAACTGTCTTAGGATAACTTTCACAGTAGAGATCTACCAATGGTACTGATTGTTTTCTTAGTAGTTTTACTGTATAGATGTATATAGTAATAATTTGTGCAGTGTAGCCAAATACTAAAATTCAAAAGAAAAATAAGTAAATCTGGACCAACATCCATACATATTTCTTTTCCACCCCACCTGTATTTCTTTTGCTGTGCTATAATTTCATGCCACTCTGTTTAAGTCCCTGTCAAACAAACATCGCTGATAAAATTGGAAGGAAATGAGGGAAAATGAGTTTTCACCTTGTAAATCTCGGTTTGCACCTCTCGTTTAGTGAGCTGCAAACAGAGAAGAGATTACATGAGGCAACATAGTGACTGCGAAGCTTGAAGTTCAGTGATCCTACTCGAGAGGAAACGGAACCTCGCTGTTCTTAATTACATTAGGCCAGTACATGTTGTCCGCACATTAAAAATAATATCCAACACAGGCACGCTAATAAAAGGAATGCAGAGATCTCTGCAGGCACTTAATTTTTTTTTGCTTTCCGGTACAATGTGAAGCCACAGCAGAGGTATATAAAAAGACCTCTCCAACAGCCAGCCCTTGCTTTGTTGTCATTATCATGGCATCTCTCTAGCTATTCTGAGTCACTTTCGGTTGCTTCTCAATTAATGAAGAGTTTTGTTTGTTGCAGGTGGCACTGGAGGACTATTTAGAGAGAGTGAGGAGAGTAGATTTTGATGTTTTTCACCCAAGCCTTCAAAAGAGAAACCCTCTCCTTCCACTCCAATTATACATCAAATCGTGGAAAAGAACATACTGACGGTTGTGTCTTTCCTTGTTATTGTTGTGCCAGAGACGGAGTGCTGCCTCATTGACTGTGTGACGTGACTAATAAATCTTAAAATGTATTGGTGGAGTTATCTGTTTCCTTATGGTCTATTTTTAATGAGTACTAGCAAAACTGTCAATCTGTTGACATTGTGGATGTTATCCTTAAGAGGGTATAAGGCATTTAATAATAATAATAATAATTCCTTGCACTTATCATAGCACTTTACAGGTAATGGGGACTCCCCTTCACCACCACCAATGTGCAGCACCACCTGGATGATGCAATGGCAGCCATAGTGCACCGGCACACTCACCACAAATGTGGCCAGGACGCTGGGGTAACACCCTTACTCTTTTCGAGAAACCCCCAGGATTGTTAATGACCACAGGGAGTCAGTACCTCGGTTTTACGTCTCATTCGAAAGACGGCACCTTTTTACAGTATAGTGTCCCCGTCACTTTACTGGGGAATTAGGACCCACATAGACCACAAGGTGAGCGCCCCCTACTGGCCCCACTAACACCTTCCACAGCAACCTTAGTTTTAGATACAGTACTGGCTGATCATCAGTGGGTTGTCAGTTTTGAGTTGCAGGGTGATAAAGTGGCTGGCAATCTCACAGGGTTTCTTTATAGTAAGTGTGATCCAATGGCTTATTCTCTCTCACTAATATTTTTTAAACACAAGTAAAAAATCATAATCAAAATATCAATATAAAATAGTGACGTGGGCATCTTATGTGTGACATCTGCTGTTAAGGCATTCTTGATGGGTTTTGATTTTTCTTCACAAATGTAAAAGTACAATTTTTGCATAATTTATGTGATGGAGAAAAGTGTACTAAAGTGGGAATTTCCAAAGTGTATCTTCATTGTTCTGCTTAGTCTGAAATACTGCTTCACTTAAATCATTTCTAACTGTTGGTGTGCCTTCCTTCTACCAGTTCTAACAGGTCATCCGCCTCATGGTAATTAGCTAGGATTTTTGTGAAGTCATTTATTATGCCTGTCTTCTTTTTTTGGTGGTGTTTTAAATTTCTTAAAATGAAACAATCCTTTCAAATTACACTCACACATTTGTGTTTTTAAACTCAAGTTCTCATGGAAGAGTTATTTGCAAGAATTCAAAGCTTCAAATTGTGTCAGTCATAAAAGAATAATGCTCTTCAAAAGCTTCTCTTTTGTGCTTTGTGCTTTTAATCGGAACCCATAGAATTAATGAGATAGTTTTCCCTTTTCTAATCTTACCATATAGTGAGATTTCCACTCCAAACTCTTGGGACGGCAATGTCAAAATTCCTTTCTTTATAGTCAAGCAATTAGTATTTGTAATCATGAGATTAATGATGGAACATGTTTTATTTTATTCTAGGGTAATTCAATGCAACCTTATGATCATATTAAAATGAAATCATACTTCATATTTCACCCAGTGATTTCAAGTGACAAGTATTGGAGT